TCATCGATCTAAATAAGATATCCCGAGATATTACTCCAATTCGCTTGCTGGATATCGATCGGCGGAACGATTGAGACCCGATCCAGAGGACGAACAACTACGAGTTGAAAAAAGTAGCAAGGGCGTGAAGTTCAAAGTTGGTGACTATTGTAAAGGCAGCTAGAGAGCAGCTACGTCTTTGGCCGATCGATTGGTCGATGGCAACTGAGCTGGATGACTTGCTAGACCTTTTTGAGGCTGAGTCAAGGTATGTTGAGCGTCGTTAATATGTAGAGTACCAAGTGATCTATAAGATTGCGGTGGGTCGATATGTAGAGTACCAAGTGATCTATAAGATTGCGGTGGGTCGATATGTGGTTGATTATTTGCATTTTGTTGTTGATATATAATGAACAGGAACAGGTCGACGATGACAGCACTGGAAGAGTGGGCCTTCGAGAACGAAATCCGCGTCAGTCGGGCCGTCTTAGCAGGTCGTGAATTTAATGAGTCAGGAAAGGCGAGAAGCTGTTTTTGTTGTTAAATTAATTTAAATCCAATACAGTGTTTAAAAGCCAAACAAAGGGTTAATATATATTATATATTAGGTATTATTAAGATTGGATTCGGACTGTATGCCAATGGTAGTATAGACGGGCCAATTTTTGTTAACTTTCACCGCACAGTTTTGCAATAATAAAAGATAATGTTGACTGTGTCCAACCAAAATTATCAATTTGTCATTTTCGTCCAGAAGATCCGGCAACATGTTGTGCACTGGATTAAGACACATGATTATCTAGGTATATTTGGTTTGATTTATTTGGTTACTCTCATAATTTAGTTTTTAAAGTAAATAATTAAAAATAACACAATTGGACCCTGGCAAAAATAAAGCGTGCATGAAAAGTGTGCAATAAGTGTGTATTTGGAGTAAAAGTCTTTATAACAATGTGCATACACGCTACTTTGTGGTAATTTCACACTTTTTGAAATAATTAAGTTTTCTCACTCCTTATGTACATTGACATCACTCTTTTTATTTGTCATATGTCACTCTTTTATTACATTATATTTTAGCACATTGTTTGCACAGTGTTAGTACATTGTTTAAAGACATACGCATGTCACATTTTATACACACTGTTAGCACGCTTTAATATTTCTCATTTATGACGCTTATTATATTACACCTTTTTATACCACATTGTACAGTTTAAGCGATTACTCAACAGTTTAAGCACATTTTAGATATATTTTGCTTGAGTTGAGGTACAACATTTATTTAAAAGGTGAGGTAGATTCCATCTTATGTATCGCTTCTCAGCCTATTGCTAAGATCAAAGCAATCCCCTTCGTGGAGTTGACAGTGCAGGTATTTTTCTTAATAAAATACAGTATGTAGGACCTACATTGTGGTTTTTTTTTTAATTTTTTTGAAAAAATATTTATTTGATTAATATTATTATAAGGATATTTACTTATACAGGGTGTCCGGGAAAAGGAAGTCAATCCGTTAACCATATATTCTTTGAGTTAAAACAATAATCCTTTCATAATACCATTTTTCAATTTAGAGCTTCATGTTCGATATACAGGGCGACAAAGTTTAAAATTTAAAACTGATTTTTTTAAATAATTCGAGTAATTGATAAGATATTAAGTTCAAATTCGGTACACTACTTCAACATAAATAGTTACATTTTTTGAGACCAACAAAACAAAAAACAATTGTCAAATAATCAAAATAGGGGGGTCCAGTACTCACTGACTCCCCCAATTTTTTAGTACGTGCGCCAATGACTTCCAAACGGTATTTTTTCAGGTAATCATTTATTGTTAAAAAAATTTTGTCTCCTATAAAATTTTGATAAAATGATTTGTTTTAGAGATAATTTGTAAAGTATGGGTCAGTCCATATCAAATCAACCAAAGGTTCTTTCCCCACCATCTCCGATTTTGATAATTTTTGGTAAATTTGTTTACCCCACTAAAAAACTTAAAAATCCCATATATGAATTTTTTTCGATGGGTGGTTTTTGTTTTATTGATTTTTGAAAATCAAAAAAATCCGATAAATTTTGGTTTTGCAAGTACTTACAAAAATAGCGATATCTCGTAAACTATTAAAAGTAGAAAGGTGAGTGATGGCTTATTTTAAGGCCCATTAGTGACCTTTTTTATGATATATCACATGACCTGAATTTTTTCAAAAAAAAAATTAAATTTCAAAAATTTGATATGGATTAACCCATACTTTACAAATTATCTCTAAAACAAATCATTTTATCAAAATTTTATAAGAGACAAAAAATTTTCAACAATAAATGATTACCTGAAAAAATACCGTTTGGAAGTCATTGGCGAACGTACTAAAAAATAGGGGGAGTCAGTGAGTACTGGACCCCCCCTATTTTAATTATTTGACAATTGTTTTTTGTTTTGTTGGTCTCAAAAAATGTAACTATTTATGTTGAAGTAGTGTACCGAACTTAAACTTAATATCTTATCAATTACTTGAATTATTAAAAAAAAATCAGTTTTAAATTTCAAACTTTGTCGCCCTGTATATCGAACATGAAGCTCTAAATTAAAAAATGGTATTATGAAAGTCTTATTGTTTTAACTCAAAGAATATATGGTTAACGGATTGACCTCCTTTTCCCGGACACCCTGTATTTCAATTATGTGTAAATTTAAAAGACTTTATCGGTCACCAAAAAGAATCTGTTTTTGTAATAGGCACCAAGTGGCAAGAACCAGTGTGCAAACAATGTGAAAAATCAAAACGAGTTCCCTTTAGAACATAGTCCAGTGATTATTCACACTTTTAAATTTTTGGTTTTGCACATTGTTTCATGTCCCATTTCCCACCCTCCGCACATCATTTTTTTAAAAGATTGCACATTGTTGTCACATTGTTCTAAAATAATTTTGCACACTTTTTGCACATTTCATTTTCGCCAGGGGATTGTTATTCATCAGGTATAAGTTATTTATTTTTTTAAATTATTAGACATGCAATTCTACTTTTTAAGGTTTTATTATCTTTGTTTTTGCTCTTCTCGAGGCTTCCGCTGCATTCAACATAACTGCATGTTTTCTGTTGCTTTTTTTTGGTTCCCATGCCTTTTTTTAATAGTTTTTGTAGTGTACACTGGTACGTACTTCATTCTTTTCACAGAAAAAAATATATTTATTAAATTATAATTTGTTAAACCAACTCATTTTAAGATTTTAAATAACACTGCATATAGGAATATCAAAAGCAAAAAGCGTTACCATAGAAACCAACTCGCAATGTTGTCGCGTTTAAATCCTATTTTTTACCTTTTTTTAATTCAGGAACCTGTGTCACAATATATACATATGTATATAGTGCCATTTGTATAAAAATATAAAATAATTATAAAATCAGTTAGAAAATTGTCTGTTTTTAAACCAAATGTAATAAAATGACAAAGTAAATTTTGTTTTTGCAAGTTGGTATCTATCGCTACCCTGCTTAAAATACCCCATAGAGACCTATACAAAATAATCTATCGGGCGCTACCGGATTCAATATGTGCATTTGTCCATGTTTTTTTACGGATACGGCCCGATAGGCACACCATAACTTTTACATTTTTTCTATTGAGACCGATAGCCAATATCCCTATAGAGCAACCATAAAACATATGACAAAATTTTATTAAAACCTATGGGGTCCTATGGGGAAAAAACTAATTCCTACATTATTTTCCCCATTGAAACCAATAGCAAATAAATCAATAGTGTATATCCCTATGGAACAACCATAAATCCCAATTATGGGTCCTATACATACCGATACACCCTATAGAAACACCATAAATTCCGATACAAATATCTATCGGTTTGAACAGGGTGTCTATGGGGTATTTTAAGCAGGGCCTCCCACCCTCGGGCGTCTAGCGTCTTGAGATTTATAGAAGGCCCCAAATCAAGACAAATGCCAAAAATTATTTCCAATTTTAATTATCTAAATAAAAAATGAATTATTCAATGTATTTTTTTATAAAATTTCAGATTAAGTCCGCTCACTACACAGCCAGTAGAGAAATCACAGTATTTTTAACATTGCAAGAAATTTTAATAGTAGGTAGCGCTTCCGAACAAGTAAAATTTTCGGAACTTACAATGGATATGTTTAGAATGGTACAAACATTAGAAAGAGAGCCTCAAGAAGATTATAATCATATTTATGATGCTTCACCTGCTCCAGTACGAGTTCCTCATGGAGTTCCGGGACAAAAAGGGTACAAATATCTATCTCTTTGAACAGGGTCTCTATGAGGTATTTTAAGCAGGGTATTAAATAAATTTTATGCATTAAGTATAAAAGCACATTCGGGCTTTGTTCTTGACGGATGGTCGTTTGCGACCCTGGAGGGACAAAATCGGAATCCCAGCACAAAAATACGCTGGTTTTTGCCAAATATACAAAATCTACAATAGATTAAGTAATTTACAAAGGATTTCCAAGACGGATGGGTAAAATATTTAAGTGTACGTATGAATTTTAAGTGAATTGTAACAATATTTATGAATTGGACAAAAACAGAAAAAAAGTATAAAAAGGGACAGTGATAAAAAAAAAATATTGAAAAAGAAGGGAGCGGCTATAGGAACTCCTAGACTCGCCCTCCCCAGTTATAGAAAAAAAGTTTAAGCTGGCCAAATCCAGGAAGGGAAAAGCCAAAAAAGGAGAAGAAGAAGTATAAAAGCAACTCCCCTTACCCCTTTCTTTACCTTATGTTCTGTTTCCCCGCAATGTACTGCCCTTATGTTCTGTGATACTCGCACAACATAAGGTGGTACTGCCAAAACCTCTTTAAACTAACATTGTTCTTATAAGAAGTATACTTTATTTTCTTATCTCCGTGCAATATTTTCAATCTTTTTAATAATTTATTTTTACAAAAATTTTAATTAACGAAGTTATAATTTAAACTTTTATGAATACAATAAACACTTGATAACCAACGAAATTAGATACTTACGGTTGTCCACTGGTTTGGCATTTTCTACGTTATACTTTTTAAAAAGATCATGCACAAACTTGTCGTCGATTCCTGGCTTTGTTACCCACCACGCTCTCTCTTTATTAGCCCATCTTCCCAGCAATGCAGGATTTGTGGGTTCATATTTTATATCTGGTACTTCATTATCTTTATATTCGATTGGCTCACAGAAAATACCAAAATTCTTGTGCGTAACTCTGGGGAGCGCACAAGGATCGAATGCATCGCCAGATCGTTGCAATTTTCTAAACTCTTTAAGTTTGTAATCCTTTGGAGGACGTTGTGGTAAGGTAAACATTTTTAAATATAATGATAAAAATATATAAATTTCATGTCATGCAATGACACCTTTATTTTGTCAGAAGTAGGCCCTGTATATAAAGTTTTTGCAATGCGCATTGGAAAAAATAATTGGATTCTGTATTATTAAAACAATTTCCTGATCAGAGTTGTTCAGAGTAATAGAAAAAAGTACTGGAGTAAGAGAAGAGAGCCACTCTTATTGGTGGTAATAATTACCTATAGGGCCTAGCAAACTAAGTCTCGACTAAATCGGGTGGCTGTTATTGTTTTTTCTAATATTTTCCAATTTTCTTTATTTCATTAATTTATAAATCATTAACTTCCCATTATATCATTTTACAATTTATTCCAATTTCTAGAGATCCATGTTATATGTAACATACTTCCAATTTATAGCACATGGCCGTATGCACATATTTATTTCAACAATTATTTTAACCATCCCTCGTGGAAATTCTTTGTAAACACATAAATCTATTGTGGATTATGCGATTTTAGTATTTACCACCTTATTCTATATTATAATATTGGACACAATAGATACAAATCGTCACGGTTTCGTCACGTTGTGCTACCAAGGAAGAAAGTCAGATTTTAGAACTGTTTCATCAGCAACCTTTTGCTTCGACGAACAATACAAAACTCATACATGAAACGTACAATTATTAAAACTAAAACATTATGGGTCTATACCATAAGCAATCACTTTAATGTTGAGTTGACAACAAATTTTAATTTATAAACCGCTTTAAGATAACATTTTTATGGTCGACTCTTTTTTTATTAGCGCCATCACGAAATTTGTCATTTAAAAGTTGTTAAACACGCAATATCCCTACCTACAACTGTTATTGCAATTTTTTAATAACTGTAGCGTCCCCTTTTTGGTTACTCGTTAAAAATTAATGTAAAATATTAAAGAACTAATTTTTCATGTTAAAAATGTTATCCGCTGTTTTTTATATAAAACCAAAAATACGGTTGTTACCTATTTCATTATTTTAATTTGCTTCCAAAAGGCACCTGACCTAATTATAGGAGTACACACTGAGAAACACAAATAAACAGCCATACCCATGTAAGAGTTGAACCCACGACCTTTTGACTTGTAGTCTGCAGTCAAATCAAATCAAATGCATTTATTGTAGTCCGGAGTGCTGACTACTACACCACCGAGGGCGGTTATTCGTGAATTCGCCCCTTTATCATTGTCAAAAGCTCGAATTTAAGCTTCCTTTCCGGATCGCATTTTTTTTCTCACCCCTTGAATTGTAATATGTATACATACATGGGTATACCCATAGGAATCGGACTAACTTTACTGGACTAGTAAGAAAAACGCTTCCATAAAGTTCTTCAAAAAATCGACAAAATCTGCGCAAAATAAAATTTTGTTCGAACCATTAGGTTAATTCATAGGAGCGTTTTTTCACCTTATAATAATAATAATAATAATAATAATAAAATACTTTATTCATCCCAAGAAATAATGTGAACTTGTGATGTGAAATTTCATTGCTTGCAGATACCTGGTTCTTGCACTGGACCCCACAACTTTGTCCTTAAGGACTCTAGCCAGGTGACAAATAAAACAAGAATGTTTTAGTTTTAGAAATACTTTTATTAAGAAATTTAGATGTTATCCTATGACTGGTTAACAATTTACAATTAAAGTGTAGAATACATTTTATTGCATGTATCACTTCTAAAATGCCTCCAAGCTGACACCATTCACGATACCTGTGCTTCTAAACGACCAATGACATTTATAAAAAATCTATATGTATAAATTAAATAATATAAATTGTTACATTTACATTACAGTCTCAATCTATTATTGACCTATTATTTTCAGAAGAATTAAATGAAATATCTTATAGTGGTAGGTAAATTAAGTTAATTTTGATCGTTTACAACTAAGCTAGTAACCTAGTGAAAAATTAAAAAGATGAAGTAATATCATTTAAATAATATCTAATGTATGGCACTATGAAATGTTTTTTATTGAAAAGAGTTAAAATTACGTACTAATGTAAATGTACTAGTAAGTTAAATGTATTTCAGAATTGTTAAGTTTATATGAAGATTCATTAATAATTATAAATTATTTACACATTTCCTACACATTTTCTACAAATTTGATATTGTTGTTTATTGTGAACAAATGTTTGTCATACATTTAACCTGTTTTTTTAATAAAGTTTCCATCAACAAGAATTCTTAAATCTTCTAAAATAGTTTAAAATAAAAACAATTTAATAAATACTTTTTCTATATATTACTTTTTTTAAATGCATAAGTGGAATGCATTTTTCAGAAAATGTCGGCAAGATAAAACTACGTTAGGATGGAATTTATTATTGTAAAATTGTATATACACTTATTTTATAATATTCTTTTTTACTAAAATAAACTTTTGTAAAAGCACAAAATCGATTGAAATAGATCTCAGAAAACATGCATTTTTCTGTTAAACAACACAGATAAATACTACTAAGTTATATCCATTTACATTATTATTTATAATTTTATAAGACAATATTCTTAGGGTTATTAAATTTTCTTAAATAAAAATTGCTGATCGATACAAACACTTTTAGAAAATATATTTTGTAACAAACCTAACAACAAAAGAATTGTATGTACATGTTAATAGTAAAGTTTAAAAAATAGACTTTCAAAGAAAGCGGGAGATTTTACAAAAATAAATATAAAAATTGTCGTAAATCACAGCGACATACTTTTCAATTTAAATTGCTGGGTACCTATAAATCGTTATTGCTAACGTTGATTTCTAAGAACAATACAATTCCTTAGCAAATAAACGTTGAAAGGCTTTCATAAAATACTGATAATGTAGTTATTTTAATAAAATTTGTTTATATAAAAATTAAGTACGTTGGACCTCATAATGTGTAATTAAATGGGAAACCGTCACTGTGACTAGTTGATTGATTGTGATTAATTTTTTGAAAATTACACATTAAAATATGTAAAAGGTATCGGACCTCTTTTTTCTTTGGTGTGGGAGTGCATATACAAATATTTTGCTTATTTTAATGAATTTTTTAATCGAGTTTTTAACGACCCGGACAACAATCGGGATTTCCTGGTGAAGTCATGATGATATCACAACGTGATTTTTTTTATCACGCTGTGATATCCTGAGTACATACACATGCTTCATCACAGTGATATCATGTAGAACTCACGGTGTGATATTTGCAAAATTTGCGCATGCGTATGAGCCCTGCGAACTGCGAATTTAAAACCTAGTTTGCTATTCACATTACACCGTTATAATTTATAAAACGTTGTTTGAATATCACAAATGTATTCCGGGTTCAATTAAAAAAGATATTCCAATGTTTAACAAAACGTGAACGTTTTGTTAAACATTGTATTGTAATAATTAATTAACTATATTTAATTTAATTGAAGGAAAGATTGAATGTATACATAAATATATTTAACCACAAAAACTGTTGATTCAACATATATGTATGTATACGGCCATTCCACGCTTAACGGATGGGACAGTTGCAAGTTTTTATTTACAAAATAATATTGTTCTATTATATTACTAATGTCAAATTTTTATAAATAGTTCTAAACAAAAGTTGTTTAAAAAGGTTTTTATTTGGCAAAATTAGGTATCGTGGTTGTCTGTTTAATTCCTTAAAAATTATTTTTTTTATTCAAAAATAGTACTAGTAGTCTTTTTGAATAAAAAAAATAATTTTTAAGGAATTAAACAGTCAACCACGATACCTAATTTTGCCAAATAAAAACCTTGTTAAATAGCTTTTGTTTAGAACTATTTAAAAAAAATTGACATAAGTAATGTAATAGAAGAATGTTATTTTGTAAATAAAAACTTGTCTGTCCCATCCGTTACGCGTGGAATGGCCGTATACTTTTTCTCTCAATGTTCGATGTGGCGCAAAATAAATATCCAAACACGGATGGCATAAAAAATCACGACATGATCTTTTATGCCATCGGTGCACCGACATGTTTGGATATTTATTTTTGCGCCACATTCGTACATTGTGAGAAAATGTTAACAATTGAATAACAGTTTTTGCGGTTAAATACATTTAATATTTTCTTGGATGTAAATTAACTATTAATTTAAATCCAAAAAAATATTGAATGTATTTAACCACAAAAACTGTTGATTCAATATATATGTAGGTATACTTTTTCTCTCAATGTACGAATGTGGCGCAAAAATAAATATCGAAACACCGATGGCATAAAAAATCACGACATGATTTGAATATTGAATGTTAAACTGTTGATTCAATTGTTAACATACTTTTTCTTTCAATGTACGAATGTGTCCCAAAAATGAATATCCAAACACCGATGGCATAAAAAATCACGACATGATTTTTTATGCCATCGGTGTTTGGTCATAAAAAATAACTACATGATTTTTTATGCCATCGGTGTTTGGATATTCATTTTTGCGACACATTCGTACATTGAAAGAAAAAGTATGTTAACAATTGAATCAACAGTTTAACATTCAATATTTTTTTGGATTTAAATTAACTATATATAGTTAATTTAAATCCAAGAAAATATTAAATGTATTTACCCCCAAAAACTGTTGATTCAACATAATTTTTCTCTTAGTGTACGAACGTGGCGCAAAAATGATTATCCAAACACCGTTGGCATAAAAAATCACGACATGATTTTCATTTCTCATGCAGTGACATCCGGATGATGTTCGTATGAATAAAATTTGTGAAAATCACGATGTGATGTTCGTATGAATATCACGAATGTTGTCCGGGGACATATTAAAAAAAAATTGTTGTCAAATGCTGTAAGAGTTTTTTAATTAGTAGGTAGCCCTCCAAATTAAAATAAAATAAAAATTTTGAGCACCAGCCATTTTGTAAACTATGTTTTTGGAGAACGGCTTGCTACGTATAATGATTTAGATTAAAAAATTGTCGTTTTTCTTAATAAGATAAAATCTAGAAATCCGATATTTTTCATCATGTCACAGTGGTGTTACTCATTTAATTTCTTGTTTGAAAAAATACAAATCATAAAAACTCTTATAATTATTTTAAATCAAAATCGTCAATTCGAAACGTTTTGATTTGCCCGTGTTCCACCAATGGCGTGGGCAGTTCGTCGTTGTCGATTTTAATTCGAATCTTGTTCGAGTCGGGAAATGAGCAAGGAATTGATTTGGGCAGGTCGCCGTTATGAGGACTAGCAACGGGGGTGTCCAGCGGCGTGTAGGGCACGTAGATGCGCAACACGTCCGGACTGACGTTGTGCGGCGTGGCGCGGGGCGTGGAATGCGCGCTGAGCGTGGCGCGTTGCACGCTGGACGCGCCGATGCCAGAGCCCACGCTCGACGCGCCGCCTACCGAGTTGTCGGACATGTTGCTGTGAGTGTCAAGGCTGTTCTCGTGCGCCTGCGAGCGCGTGATCGTCGAAAAGACCGACAAGTCTGCGGTGGAGGTGACGCTGGTGTCAGCCAATGAGCGACGCGATCCGGTGTGCTCGCAATCCAGTAGCGAGCTGGCGTCGTCGATGCTCGGATCGAACGAGAATTTCGAGCCTGAAATAGAATAGAAGGCTCGGATGTATTTAATAGGGATTTGGTTTAATGCCCCACCCATGTCCACACGAAGTTGATTAATGTTGTCAGGGGCTAATCCACGGGGGGTTTTCGGGGGATCACCCCCCGAAAATCAGGAAAATTTTTGGAAAACAGACCCACAGCGATCGATCGATATAGAGTGCAATGAGAACAGAGCGCGGTAAATAAATTACATTTCAAGTTTTCAAATAACTGCCATATGGAAATACAATAATATTATAAAAAATATCTTTAGAGACAAAGTTTTACGCAATCTCCCCATCCAAAAGCCTGGATCCGCCACTGAATGTTGCTTTTATGTACTTATGTTGTTAACTTAGTAATAAATATTTAAATATTTTCCATTTTATTAAAATTTAATTTTAATCAATATACACTCGCAGGCAAAACTATTGCATATTTTCTGTCACTATTACTTGAAAATAATTGTAATTATTTAAGACCGCAACACATAGAGCTCTATTTGACCGTGTGGTAAAATTTTAAATTTTCAAGCCCTGCTACATGGGTCGAAATTAAGAACGATCCGTGGGCAATTTTTTTCTAAAAAATGAATGGCGCATTCTTTTTTTACGTGCCTCAAATACCTTTATGCAAAGTTTGAGCTCAATGTCTTATATAGTAGGGTGGAACGAAATATGAATATTTTTAAAATTAAAAACGCCTGTATATAGAAAACTTGTGTATGATAAAAATAAATATTTTGGTAAAAAAAATAAATATTTTTTTAATTTCTTCCACTGCCACAGAGTTATCCTAAATATAAAAATCGTAAAATTCAGACGAGGGCAGAAAACGGTTAAAAAAAATTTTGAGCCAAGATTTTATTGCAAAATTGGGCACATTGATTTAAAAAAAGAAGCTAAATGGGGGCCTCCGGTCAATTTTAAAAATAAAAATATTTTGATATTTGACATGGACTGGGGGTCCGCCCATTTCGCTTGTTTTTTTTAATTAAAGTGCTTAACTTTGGAAAAGTTACTTATGCTCAAAATAAACAACTTGGCTCACAAAAAAATATATTTATATTACTACCGTTTTTGTCCCAGCTCAAACTTTTGTGTTTGCCATGGCTCTGCTTCAATTTATTTTAAACATCAGTAACTTTTCCAAAATTGGACACTTTGATTTTCAAAAAAAAATAAGCGAAATGGGCGGACCCCCAGTCAGTGTCAAATATGAAAATATTTGTATTTTAAAAATTGACCGGACCCCATTTGGCTTAGTTTTTTTTGAAAATCAATGATCCCAATTTTGGAAAAATTATGTATGATCTTAAAATTACTTGGCTCAAAAAAAAAATGTTTAACCGTTTTCTGCCCTCGTCTGAATTTTATGATTTTTATATTTAGGATAACTCTGTGGCAGTGGAAGAAATTAAAAAAATATTTATTTTTTTTACCAAAATATTTATTTTTATCATACACAAGTTTTCTATATACAGGCGTTTTTAATTTTAAAAATATTTATATTTCGCTTCACCCTATTATATAGGGTGTTTGTCACAGCGTAGCCAAATTTGTTACTTTTTAATTGCCCCTGTATAAAAGTTCATCATGCGTACAAAAAAGGTAAAGTATTTATGACCTAAAGCCATGATATCCAACCCCCCCGAAATATAAAAAAACTAAATTCTGAAAAAACATCGTAACTTATACTTTAAAATAATGGGGTGTGGGTGTGACCCATTTGTTTGCGACTCACCCCTGTAAAATCTTTATTTATTGTGCGTTTTTAGCCGGATTTGTTTTAAAGTGTAGATCTTGATAAACTGTATTTTTGAATCAAAAAACGCCATGTTTTTACAAAATTCAAGGCCTACTATGTCAGTTTTTAAGAGTAAATTTTTAAGAATTCATATTAGCGATTTTTTTAAACAAAATCTAAGCACGGCACTGAATTCACCAAAACCCTCAAAACGACCCTATACTAAATTTTATTGAAAAATTTTAAGAAAAAAAATGCACAAAAATTTATTTTGTCAAGTTATCCATGATAAAAACATTGAAATAAAATTAAGTTTAATTTTATTTCAATGATTTTTTCATGGATAACTTGACAAAATAAATTTTTGTAGTTATTATTGTGCATTTTTTTTTTTAAATATAAAATAATAAATGACGAACTAAAAAATTTCATAAAATGTCTTTCAATATTTATATTTTTTCAGACGAGTACGTTTAAAACAAAAATTTTGAAGAAAAAAAAACGTCTCAATTAGGTCAAAAATGTAGTATAACAAGCTTGTTTACTTGCTCTATCTTTGTGACACATCTACCAAACATCTTTAAAATATAAATCATACAAAAAAGCATTAAAATTACTATGTCAACTCTACCAAGGGCCGAGTAAATGATGTGATTTATTAAAACAATAAACCTTACATTATTTTATTTGGAAATACTCTCGCCCAGAATTGACCGTTAAGTTAAAAATAATTTTCCTTGAATATTTCGCATGTAAGAACGCGTTAAACATTCTTCGTTTGTGATGAAGTCTAGCGCGCACGCATGGTCTTACCTTTCTCCTATAAAATTATGATTATGATAAACTGGGATTATAGATTTAATTATTTAAAGAAATTTATTTTGGTCCAAGGAAAAAAACAATTTGACCGGTCAACCCTACTGCTAAATAGGTCAAAATGTAGGTAACTTTTATGGCAATTTTTTTTTCAAAAAAATGGATAGCGCAAAATTTATAATTTTTCCACATGGTCAAATAGGGCTTTTCTTAGAATTTAGCACTATGTCCCCAAAAAAATATATTAAAATCGGTCAATGCGTTTTAAAATAATGGGGTTTTGCGATCTTAAATCGCACACACTGTATATATGGGACGTTCCAAGACATAACCCTAGACTTGTCTAGGGACATAACGGCCGCGAAAAACGGTCGGAACACAAAAAATTAAAAAAATACAAAATTTTGAAATTTCTATGCATTTTTTGCGGATTTTACAGTAACAATGGAGATTGGTGAGTTTGTTTGTTTTAGAATATTTCGGAAGTTAAACAGTGGAAAAAATCACACACATACCTTTTTTAGACTGCCTTTTGAACACTTTTTTTTTTTTAAATTTTTATAAAAATATTTATATAAAAAACAGTTTTTTTAATTAACAAAATGGTATTTGGAAAAACTAATTTTTTTTCATCTGAAAAAATCATATTTAGAGTTGTAACATTTGCGCAAATACTACTAATTTTTTTCGTGGACCCGAAAATTTCAGAAGGGTATTTCCGCGAAACCTTACCCCACCTTGAAAAAAAATCAGATGTGTTATTTAACAAAAAAAAAACTATATTCAAATAGTTTAATTACGACGTAATTTATAACCTTAAAATATTCGTACATTGTGATGCTAACATTAAGAATAAACACGGAGTTCAATACTCGATAAAAAGTTTTGAGACAAATTTAGAAAATAAAGTATACTATATTTGTGCATTTAAAATACCTACGTGCTTGTTTGAGGCTACTATTCAAGTTTTACACAAAAAAATATATATAGTAATATTTCATACAAAATTTTACAGTATCAACATTAGAAGGCAACTTTGTCGCATCTGCCGATTTTCTAAGGTCGCGCTCGTTAAGCGATTCATGTCGTTATAAAAGGTTTTCTATACAGGTTTTTATTGACATTATGTTTGAATTATATTTCTAATTTTGTATACATTTTTTGTATATTAAGTTAATATTATTAACGTATCTTGATATATGTGAACAAACCACAGACCAACAAACCCTTTATTATCATGAACATACGCAGTCAGTGTCGCACCCGTTACAATGGAAATACCCAGAAGTAATGATTTTTTTTTCTTGAAAGCGCATGAAACCGTACGACTGATCGACGGAAATCTTCGACTTTAAAGACGTAAAAAAAACGAAAATTTGCGCAAATGATAGGACTACAAGATTTAAAAAAATGGCGTTTTTTTAAATATCATTTTGTTAAAAAAAATGTGTTTTGTATTATTTTTATTTTTTAGCTTCCTCTATAGACCCTCAAAATAATAAGATTTTTGGAAATATTATGTTAGGCTCATTTTAAAAACTTTTAATTGCATTTAATGACAGACAAATACTTTGTTAAAAATGTAATTTAAGTCAGGTGAGAGATATTTATAAACTTAATACATATATTTAACAATGTCAATTTTACGAATTTTTTGCCAAGGCCCCTTATTTAAACAAAATAGAAATGATTAAATAATTATCATTAATAGAATATTATAGATTCTCAGACAGACAGCAAGCGGTTTCTTATACACATCTCAAAAAAATTAGGGCAAAACTTTTATTTCTCTATTATGGAAAATGGTTGCACTTTATTTTTGTGCTTAAATTATTTATCACATATTAAAGAATAAATTATTACTTTATGTTTATTTTACCTATTTACCGTTTAGGGATTTTAGATTGTTACTATTTATTATTTATATTATAAAGTGTTCCTCTATTTTTTTATCAGTGTATTTTCCTTTTTTAATTAATAGGCATTAAAAATAGTTTTAATTTTGTTATGCTTGTCATTTTTTCTTTTGAAGGTGCACTTTATTTTCTTTATAACTTTTTTTGGTATTTATCATTTGATTGCCACAAAACAATTTAAAAATAAATAAAAGATAATAATTAGGTTATTGTTTGTTTCTTACCCTTTTAAAATGCTACTGCACAGCAGAAAATACTTTTTGTTCAAAAAGTTTTTAAAAAATGTTTTTTTCTTTATTTTGCTTCTTTGTAGGAAATAGGGAATGTTTCGGGTTCTAAGGGGGATTGCGGGAATATAAAACTAAAGAAAAAATTCTGTTAATATAAAGCATAACGTACCAAATATTAAGTTTCCATTTTGTTGCATTCATATGCTGATTGCAGGCAATACTAGAATAACAAATCTATGTTACCAACTGAAGATATAAAATGCTTTGCAACAAGAATCTAATCAATTTTCCTTAGTGCCACAAGCTATCTTAACTAATATAACTAAATAACAAATAAAATTATTTATTAATTAAACATTATTTGCCAAAATTATAATTAATTATGGCTAGTTTAATATATTGGATAATTAATATGAATTAAATGAAATGTTATTTTCATGCTAAGTATATATGACATGCAAAGCCACATTATTTTACATGCAAAGATTATTGTGTTCATTTAATGGTGAAAATCCACAAAATATACAAGTTGTTTTTTGTATGTTTAAACAGTGAATAACATTGATATTATTAAAGTGGGACATGTTAGAAAAACCAAAACCAGTATGATATTTTGTACAAATATATTAGAACATACTACCAAAAAATGTATACATAATACACTGATCTGTATCAAAATAAATATAAACACAAAAGTACCTAGAATAAGTACAAACAAAAAAGAAATAAACAGGTAGGTATAAAAATATATAATTTTTTAAGAAAATTAAAAGGTGAAATATTTTGTATTTTATGTTTGAGTAGTAAAACTAATTTAAGCCTTTAGGCACTGGGGATGCTTATAAATATATGTACATGTACCTATTTATAATATAGTGTTTTATTAGAGACTTAATTATTATTTAAAATTAATTAATATACTGTAAAAGTTAGTTAAATACAAAGTGTTTTAAAAACAGATCTTACATCTGAGATCTATAATAATTATGTTATTACTTGAGCTTATTCTTTAATTATATTTAATAATATTTAATGATTTCAGCACTAAAATAATAAATAGGAGTGATTTTGTTGGGCAGTGAATTAGTTTTTTTTAATATAAATAGAATAAAATGCGATAATTTATTACTTATGTAACCTATAACCCAAGTTTTTATTATTAAAATTTTATAAAAATGCAATTTCAGTAGGTATTTTATATTTCAGTGAACATTAGATTTTTAATTGTAAACATGGCCAACAAATTTATTGGTATCAAATTTTTATTTGTTTTTAAGTCATAGCGTCATTACCAAATTTTAAACAGCTTTAAATATAAAACAATCATTTGACCAAAAATATATACCCTTTGGATTTTATGAATGTTTACAAAAAAACCATATAGTTTGCAATAAGTTTAGTTATGGGAACTTGTATTTTTTTATTTAAAGAGCTACAAGGTCGGTTAAATTAGACAGAAGTTGTGTAATTACAAGTATATTAAAATGGCATTTAAAAATTGGAAAAAATCAGCGGATCTCACATAATTAAAAAAAAAACAAAAAATCTGTCATAACCCACAATCGTTATAACTTCCTAGGAATTAAAAAGTTTTACATCTAAACACACATTTTCAATCTATTTGTGATTTTTTTCGCCTACTGGATTTTGAGATACCACCACCATCTTATGTTTTTCCTACAGCCGACATATTGCAATTTTACATGGGATAGAAAAAAATCAAGGAATCCAATGATGTACCTATCAAACTCGCACATTTAGAGATTTCTCTAAATATGTGATCAAACTACATGATAAACAAAAGATGGTGATGGTAACTCGAAACATGGTAGCAAAGAAATTGGATGAAAATGTAGATTAATGTGTATGTTTATATGTAAAACTTACTTTGTTTCAAAATTCCCAGGAATAACAATGTTATACAATGTTTGGTTTTAAAAGGTTTTTAGTGTTTTTTTTAAATATTTTGAGAACCCCTGGATTTTTTTCCAATTTATAAATTCCATGTAATTAAGCAACCTTTCTATAATTTAACCGACCTTGTAGCTCTTAAAATAAAAAATACCCATAAAAGTATACACACCCTGTACATATTTTAAATGTGATAAAGAATTAAAAAAAGCGTAAAAACCAAATAACTTTTTTGCAATGAAAATTATTCCAGATGCTCGTAAACCAGCACTAAACAATATAAAAATTGAGGAAACCTCATCACTTGTAAAAATCCCAAAAATAAGGACCCAAACAATTATATGCAAAACCCTCCTAATATCTCAACAAATAAAAAAAGATTCACCAGATTGGAGCCAACTTTATTACCAAGAACGCTAACAACGATATTCTTCACGAATTATGTTTGTTCAGGGCAATAGAAAATTCAAGTACCCAGAAAAGACTATGGGAATATCATTTACAATTAAGGGAAAATGTATAGCTGAAGGACCTTAGTCAATACCCGATTGTAAAACTGTTAATCTTTTTTGCAATAAAGTTTATAGAATTTTAATATTATAATAATTATTATTATTATTCCATACATATTCTGAATCTGAATAGTATTAGTACTATAGATCATTAATTTCGTTTGTTTAGTTTATAGTTTATTTTTTGTTTGCCAGTGGGGTCAAATGTAAAGCAACAAAATTTAAAAAACAGTGGATATTTGGATAGCATTTTAAGTTGTTTATTTATAGTTAATAACATGCATTTGTTGCAAAAATTCCTCGGAGTTCATTTGTCAGTTCAGTTTGAAACAGAAAATTATGAAAAGTGGCAAAACGAAAAAACAATGTAGTATAGCAAAAAGCTTAAATTTAAACTGATTGGTTGTTTCGCGGACCATAAGTAATTTTAATCAAACGGAACATTAGAAACCTAAAAGTGGTCAGACGTAAAACGGATAAAGCCTACGACAAAAGGATTAAAGCCCTAATTGTCCGTTCAATTAAAAACAGTTTTATGTCGTTTTACATTGCATAAATCCGGCAGAATGAAATTAACGAACAGTACAATCACAAATACGTATATATATACGAGATACGCCTTTACGTATTTTTAACGGCGAAATATACGGTACAAGGGTTTAAAATAATTAATTTTTACTCCTCCATAAGCTAAAATATCAAATGAAACTATCCTAAATCTCAAAGAAATATTCTAATTAAAAGCTTGAAAAAAAGAGTATATTAAAAACGGCGGCAAAAACTTAATAATTGCCATGCACACAATTTGCTGCCTTGGCTAGCGTCTCGACAGTGAAATGTACACTAGGGTATAATATAAGCTATTTCCACCTGATCTATAGTGTACTATTAATATTTAAATAATAATGCTATAACTTGAAAACAAATGACAATTTTAAATTATTCTCTCCGACACTTTTTGTGTTTGGTGGCTTCCACCTGTATAATAGCATTATTTTATGTATGCTATCTTATTTTTAAGCCACTTGGCCTGTAAACAGTTAAATAGGGATATAGAAACCGAGTAATTTTGTAAAAAAACAATAAAATTATTTCAATAAAAATTGCTTGCATACATAAATGTAAAACATATGATATTTATTTATTAATTATTTAGATTAAAGACAAGATCTATATGGCTTCAGTTGTATCACCAATTTATTTATGTATATTTAATTACCATAAAATCCTTATATTTTGTTGTAAAATTGCAATAATGATATGTTAAGATCCAATAAATGTTATTATAGTTATACACAACTTTATTTAGAATTCAAATAGGTAAAAATACTTTAAAAATTCGTTGCATGCAAAAGTGATACTATTTACACATATAATACAACCGTTGTAGATAATATTGAGCAAAATAGATTCAAAAAAGCTAGACTAAAAAAATAATATTAAATATAAACATAAAATACAAAACGTCCTAGAGCCTTGTACACTCATCTGCACTACCGGCAAGGCTATCATCATCATTATCACAAATACTGCTCGAGCCCGAGCGACTACCAAGATAAGAAGTATTGTCTGTATCGGTACCTGTGAATCCGACTGAATCGACGACTGACAGCTGACACTCTTTGTCCTTCTCGACAGATTCTCGCGCAGCGTCGCTCGTCAACGTAATTATCTCGTTGGTGACCTTCTCCTTTTCGGTGAACGTTTCCGTCCGGATGCCGACGATCTGCTCGAACGTCGGTTCCTTGAATTCGCCGAAAGGTCGCGTGGGCAGCTCCTCTCTGCCGGGCTCGCCTGCTTTGATCAGCTTGTGCTTTTTCAGTTCTTCGATCGAACCCTCCAAGTGCCTGATCACAGTGTCTTCGTCGTAGATAAAGTCCTTGTACAGTTTCACCTAAATAAAGCATCTACATTTTAGAAATGTATATTAGGAAACAAGTTTCATAAAACCATTTTAGTCACGAGGATAAATAACATAATAGATGGACTAAACTTACTAAAATCACGTACTATAGTATATATGCACGTGATTGTCCATTTATCAGTAGGCAGAAGCACGACCCATCCACAACCTTGAATTTGACCAATTAGACTATAGGCCCGAGCGAGTGTTAAAAAAACGAGTGTTTAGAGAAGTATATAAAACGAATTGCATACTATACTTTTTCTACTACGAACAGAAAAATACATTTTTCAGAAGAACGGCACTTTATTTTGACGACCAAACAGATTGTATATCAATTAGTCCCAATTATCACATAGGGGCATATCTCAAATTCAACAATTTTAAATAGCATTTTAGGGATTGAAAGTTCTTGGCTAATTTAAATTATTTTTTGCAAAAAAAAGTGCTAGGTATTACATTAAAATTTAATATACTATCTAGTAGCACATTTTATTTCAAAAAAATAATTTAAATTAGTTAAGAACTTTCAGTCTTTAAAGTTGTTAACTTTGAGATTTGCTCTTATGTAAGAATTGGGACGAATGGACAAGTAACAACTAAAAAGCCCGCAACCGGTTCGTAATTTCATACCGTGACTAAAACGAACAAAGTCGCAGCTGCGACGCAGCTAAGCTGTTGCCAGATTAGGGGTTTTTCCCCTAGATTTAGTGGTTTATTAAACTTTCGGGGGAGTTTTAGGGGGACAAAATTCTTAGGGGGATTTTTAGGGTGGTGCGAAAGTACCCCCTGGGACGAATTGACAAGTAAAACAACTAAAAAGCCCGAAACCGGTTCGTAATTTCATACCGTGACTAAAACGAACAAAGTCGCAGCTGCGACGCAGCTAAGCTGTTGCCAGATTAGGGGGTTTCCCCCTAGATTTAGTAGTTTATTAAACGTTCAGGGGAGTTTTAGAGGGACAAAATTCTTAGGGGGATTCTTAGGGTGGTGCGAAAGTACCCCCTAGATTTAGTGGTATATTAAACGTTCAGGGGAGTTTTAGAGGGACGAAATTCCTAGGAGTTTTAGTGGGATTTATAATTTTTCAGATTTTTTGTTAAAAAACTGCCTGTAATATGAAAATAAAATTGAATTTAATCGAACTATAAAATAATATAGGTAAATTCGATTTGGTTACGGGCATTGAATTATAAATGCTAAGTGCGAATCACTCGGCAAATTTCTGCCTTTTTGAATATCTGGTGATGTTTTTAGTTAATTTTCTGTCAAATTTTAAAATAATCTATCGATTTTTTGGACGAAATGGTCGATGCTGTGAGAAATGTAAATACTTGAATTAAAATGTTAGTTCAGTTTATCAGTATTATACTGCTATGCTAAGCACAAAGGTCCTATTTACAATATTAAATAATAAATGACAAAAGATCATTTTTAATGTTTTATCTACGCCAGTGAGATAAGAACTTCTTATTCCACTCATTATGAGTGAGATAAGAAGTTCATTAACGCACGCGTTTTTCTCTGTTTTTAACCAATCAAATAAAAAAGTCAAAATGTCAAAATAACCCTAAATTAAGTCTTAGACAAAAATAATTACCGTTTATTTTTTCATTTAGAGGCGTAGATAAAAATTTGTACAATATACGTGTGATAACGCTTTATTAACGTACTTTTGCGAATTTCGCATGCGTACGTTAATAAAGCTCTTATTCCACTTATATCGTAAATAACTATTAATCATCTCAAATGAAAAAAAAAAATAATGACAGAAAATTGTACAAATTTTACACCCTTAAAAATTAAAATATTGTTCAATAATTATTGGGGAAGCACTGAATTATAGGGGAAAATCTATATGGGCAGAAAGACCTCGGTCATTAGCCTTTTGGTTTATTCCAATAAAGATATTTACTACTAGGGGAAAATCGAGCGCTCTAACAAACTAGCAACACTGCGCAGCTTGTCAATGTGTATTTAAAAGATCAATTAGCGTCAAGAAAACATACGATAATGTGTTTAAAAACATGGTATTAGAAAAAGAACCATTTACATCAGTGGAATTAAAAGAAATTAGTAGCTCAGAGCTTCAGACCAAAAAAAATATTTTAGGGGCATATGTTGTCAAAAAATATTTGTGATGAAAAAAGTAACCTAATTATATTTATACCTATTATAGGTATAATACAAAGACCTTAGATATTAGAAAGATTTTCCAATTGATTTTATTTTCGTTGTGCCTAGAGTTCCAAGGCGGGACTTAAGTTCAATCCCTACTGACGTCACACACTTTAAATCGGTATTGCTTTCAGAGCGTTATACAATTAATACTCCTTAAGGACATTTTTGGAGTAAAAAAGTAACGAATTTGGTTTTATAAATATTACATCACACCTTATTTGCACATTATTCACCATTGGACAACATTTACGTTCACAAATAATTTTAATTTCTTTTATATAAATTCTTTTTAAAGCGAAGATTTTTATCCGCTAGGAATACTTTCTCTTCTGGGCAGTAAAGCAACCTGTATTTAACTACTTTTTTATATGATTTTACTCATCCAAGCACCACCAAAGCCAAATTAATTGCATTTTTAACTACGAATAACTCAACTTGACAACTGCACAATGTAACCTACAATAATTTATACATAACCACAATTAGATTTATAACTAGCTTTTTTTTGTTTTAATCAATGCGACCAACTTGACAACTGTATTTACCAACCAAAACCCTAAATTTGCAACGTTGCCGCAGTCCAGATAAAAAAAAACAACATAATCAAATGTGTCATATTCCGAATAAAAAAAACAACTGTACATTAAATGTGCCAAAATTAACAAAATTAAATACCTACTGCAATTAATTTGCTAGACATTATTACTTTAATGAAGCGTCCCTGACGGACATTTTTGGTTGGAGAATAATTTTTAGTGGCATCTTTTGGTTTTGTGGTATTTTAAACAACGTCAATTAAAATTCACAATAAACACCTTATTTTTTTAAATAAATATTTTAAAATCGCAATTTATTATACCGTTTACTTTTTAACACAATTTTATTTATTTCTTAATACTTTATAAAAAATAAATAAAATAAATAAAGTTTTTATTGCATATTCAGTACAATACAGAACATATAATACAAAATATACAAAAGGCCATCGACTGGGGTCCTTCAGCCTTACTTTATATATTTATATATTTTTTATTCATATTTTTAGTTTTAGTTTTATGCTTTTTTCTTGACAAGACAAATAAGTTCATATTTTAAAGGCAAACGATAACTCCATTATCCATTGTGTTTTAATTAAATTAAAATTTAATTAATTATTAAATTATTTGGATTTAACTTATATAAATGATTAGATTAGATTAGGGTTTTATTTTAAATATACTTATATGGAGTTTACTGTGCCCCCTGAATTAATCCCCCTGTATAATTCATAATTATAATAATAATTATTATCCTTTCCACATATAATTTAGATTTAAGTTTTATTTATAATTATACCACTTCCATTTATGTAAATTAAATGATTAATCATTATAAATATTAAAATTGGGTTATTTATTATAATATTTATGAAAACGTGACGTTAAATACGGAGACAAAATTATAATTTATTTAGAAAATTACAAGTACTACTTCAGTAGTTAAAAATTAAATTTAAAAAATTATTATAATAAACTGTGATATATTTATGATGACAAAATTCGTAAAATTTAAGTAAAATACTCTAAAATAACTTTAATTTACCTTTTTCTGTAATATGCATATTATTTCTTTGCCAATATCAAATACATTTAAAAATTTTAATTTAAAATAGTTTTTTTTATATTTACCTGAATATATTGAACAATAGCATCCATATCATTTAACTTCAACAAATTTCGTTTGTGCAGTTTGAGTATTGTATAGGCCATTGCTGATATTACTTCCTCACCCTCATATAAATAAATATCCCAAATTCTAAGACATAAATTAAAAGGAACCTAAAAATAGAACTTGGTAATTTTTACACATAACAAAATTCATTGTCCTACCCTTTCAATAAAACAAACGAAAAACCACTTTAATGAGTATAAAATGGCATCCAAACCATGTTTGTCAAAATGTTTTTTAATCTTTGGCAGCAGTTTAGTCAATATTTTATCATGATGAGCCAAGAACCTGGTTAATTTAGGAAATCCTTCCTTATAAAGACCATGCATGGCATATTTTGGATCTGTCAATAATATATGCATGGCCCAAAATGCATCTTCCTCATCCATATACATTAATAAAACTCCTGCCAGCCCAGACATACCCTGGCAATATCCCACTTCTGAATTATACATAGCATAAGCAGTCAGTACATTAAAAAGAGATTGCTGTTTAATGCTGTACCGCTCCCTATAGTGTAAATGCTCTCGAAATTGCCTATTTACATCAGAGTCAATCTGCCTTGCATCAGTAGAATATTGTCTAGCTAACTTAATCATTTCCTCATACCTTCCAGTATTATTTTTCTTAACAGTTTCAACATGTAATAGTTTTATCCAGGCATCACTTCTTAGTGAGTTTGGAATTCCTTTATATACTCTAGAATGAAGTTTTTCTTTGCTTGCAGGAGCATCCCAATTTTTTAACATCTTAAGCCATTTCTTTTGGCGTTCAACTTCAATCTGTCGTTTTTTTGCTTCCTGCGGGTCCACTTTAGATGGTAACCTTTTGTCATGGATAAATCCATATCTGTCTGTTGCATGGTAAACCTCAAAGCCTGGGTCTTCCCAAGGATCAATTTCTGCACCTTCACGTCCTTGTTCATATCTCTTAAATATTTTCTCTCGCTCTTCAGCAGATCTCTTGAGAAGATCCTCTTCATTCATCCCATGTACGATTTTTTAACAATTTATATACACTATTCCCCAGCATTCCGTAGTTTACAACGCGAATTTTGCATTTGTTTGATTAATGGTACATCTAAAAGTAGAACATTAACAATGGTCTATTTCACATGGTGCAACAATTTTTAGATAGAAAAATAGGATAGCAAAAAATATATAAACTAGCCTAATAAGAGGCACATGTGCAAGAAGGTAACATGGTTAAACTGTTCAATGGTTAAAAAGTTAATTATTTTGAGGTTTGAGATTTACTATATAGGTAACTAACACCACCAATAATATTACTTTTACAATCTTTTTAATTCTCAATGGTAATTTGTTTATAAAATAATTATATTATGTACCTATATATTCATGTAAAATAGCATTTTGACTACCTATAAAATAAAACATGCTGAATGATACTTTCTACAGTTTATAATAATGTCATAATTATTGTATTACTTTTTACTTTACTTGCACTTGTTACCGAAATTACAAATTTTGTCTTTTCACTGCCTAGAAATGGCAATTATTTCTAAATCGCATAAAGCTTTTAAAAAGTATGACCCAGTAGAAGAAACTTTGTTTAAACATAATTCAGAACCCTTACTATTGTAATTTGCACAGCTACAATAAATCCTAAATGGTCCTGTCATATGAAATTAAACCACAAACACATTTCAATAGGATTTTCAATGCATTATTTATTGACATCTGTCAGACGTCACCTACTTTTTAACATTTCTTAGTAACTTCAATATCTAACACCAAGGAAAATTTTCTAATTATACATTATTATTAGCTTATTAATATTAATAGTTTAATTTCGTTATATTTACCTCTCAAAAATCATTAAATCTTAATGTTCATGAGCTTAACAGCACTACCAAAACCCGCAACTCCGCTACTGGAATGTCAATTACACTCCCTAAAATAGTATTTTAAAAATACCGACAGTTTGCGGTTTAAGAAAATTTGCATAAATAAGCTTATAATTACAAATATTATTAAACACACTTATAATTCAGTAAAACATCTACCCGAAAATACAACTCATAGTAAAAAAAATAATTTATAGGCGATAATAATTATTACAAAAAATATATTAAAGAGCGCCACCTATAATGTAACAGCCAAACTAAAATTACTGGGTTCTGCATTTTGACAAGTAATCAACAACTGACATTTTTGGTTGACGTCTGTTTTGTGCCGGCATTGATTTAGCCACGTTATACTTTATTTAACTTTGATAAATTTATAAATTAAAATGGTGTGTTAATATTTATGCTCCTAATATTAATAAATATTAATATTTTTATAATTTTAGGCAGAAGTTGACAAACTTGTTCGCTATGTTTCCCCTATCAACCCTGCTGTCTTCCCACATCTTACAATAGTTTTATTGGGGATAGGAATATTTTTTACTGCGTGGTTTTTCGTTTATGAAGTAACAAGCACAAAAAAAAACAGAAGTTTAAAAAAGGAAATCCTTGTGTCATTGGTTGCCTCAATTTTCTCTGGTTTTGGAATACTGTTTTTATTATTATCAGTTGGGATATATGTATAGTTGTAGGTATATGCATTGATAACTTAATTTTAGGAATTTGTAACTGTTTGCAATTAAATTTATAAGACAAAATAATGGTGTTTGTTTACATATTAAATATTTTTTGTGAGTGGTTAATAATGTGCGGATTGTATTTGCAATTGCTAATAATTAATGACATTAATTTTTCCCGCTGTGAACAATCTTATTCCTTCCCCTGTATAAATTTTCATTCCCTCCGTTATCAGGTAAGAAATGTTTCATTTCCTCCTGGTACCATGATGATGCTACAGTGTGACTTTGAATGTGAATGTCAGACTTTAATTTTTACAAGTTTTTTGTTGGTACCCAAATTGTGTATTTGTAAGCACTTCCACTCGACAAAAAAGTATAGTGTTTACATTGTGTGGAATCGGTATGAATTCCTTCACTCGCCTATCGGCTCGCTCGGAAACTTTCATCTTCGGGAATAATTGCTATGATACTCTCGGTAAACAATATACTATTACATACCCATGATACAAAGTTTCATGTTACATACATTATATATCATTGTTTGTATTCTCTCTGTTTCTTAGCAACAAATGTAATGGTGATTGCTAAAGAAAATAAAAATGCAATTAAAGTTTCTGCAAACTATTCTTGAAGCCCAGGTATTAAATGTATGCAATTTAAACTATTAGATAAAAACAAATTAATTTGTAGGATACAGATAATAAAATATGTGGCTTGTGTTGGTCGCCAAATAATCAAAAGTTGGCTGTTGCAACCTGTGACAGACAAATATATTTATTTGACGAAAAGGGCGAAAAAAGGGACCGGTTTTCTACAAAACCATTTGATCCAGAAGCTGGAAAAAAGTCCTACATAATCCAGGGTATTGCTTTTAGTCCTGATTCCACCAAACTTGCTGTGGCACAGAGTGACTGTATTGTTTATGTTTACAAAATTGGAGAGAAATGGGGCGAAAAAAAGGTCGGTAATCAGGTTTCAATATTAAATTTTCAAGACTACCTAATCAGGTTTCAATATTAAATTTTCAAGACTAAGTACCCTATTGAAAATGCCATATAGAACCCATATTGAATCCGATAAGGAAACGTATCTGGTTCTATATGGTTTTATAGGTCCTATATGGAAAGTCCTGGTTTACATTACAGATTCTATATGGTTGAATATGGATTTCCATTTTAAAAATTTTCATATTCAACCATATAGGGAAACCTATCTGGAAATACATATAGAACAGAAACCAGATAAATCCATATACAACCATATACATGTCTTTATAAAGACATGTATATGGATGTATATGGATTTATCTGGTTTCTGTTCTATATGTATTTCCAGATAGGTTTCCCTATCTGGTTCTATAATGTAATCTTCTATCTGGTTCTATAGTGAAATGCCTGTTTCAAATACCTATATTGAACCAGATAGAAACCATATAGAATCCAGATACGTGTTTTTTATATGGTTCTATATGGCATTTTCAATAGGGTACCTACTTATAGAAGTTAGTTTCTTAATTATACTTCAGAAATTCTGAAGTAGGTATACCCAAAGATAATTATCTTTGGGTATACCTTAGGGACTATTTGCCAACCAACCTATTTTCGGGAGACCCTGTATATATATATATATATATACAGGGTTTCCCGAAAATAGGTTGGTTGGCAAATAGTCCCTAAGGAACCTGAAGAGCCCCTAAAGGGGCGCCCCCGGAGATGTTTTATTATTTTTATTTCTGAAACAGTTTGAGATAAAATAATTTATTTTCGGGAAATATATGAATTTTTTATTAATAACCCTTGCGGCCTTGAGTTTACGGTTTATTCACCGTGAATTCACTGCGAATTCACCGTGAATTCACTGTGAATTCACCGTGAATAAACCGTCTGTTTGTGACTTTTGTAAACGGTAGTTAGACGGTGAATTCACGCACTTTTCACAGTATTTTAATTGTGAATCCACCGTATTTTGGCGGTATATTCACGGTGAATTCACGGTGAATAAAACAATAATAATAACACAATCGACTATAGCTAGCCATTATTCGTTACTGAGCAGATGAGGATGGAGATGGGGACTTCAAACAATTAATGTTCAGCTATGCCATTACAGACGCACACTTCCAACTAAATATTGCAACCCAACGCTATTTATAGTTAGCTCGCTTGCGTAAGCAGCCGTGAGATGTATTGCTTAAACCGCTTAACACAGAAATCGACTAATAAAAAAAACCGCTAATAAATGGCATCCAACTTGTTGTTTTTTCTTTATGATGGCGTCTTAAGTTGATTTTGCGCAGCTACACGAGAGTTCTCTTGCGATATTTGTATTGTACAATACGTATTGGGAATAACCAATTAGCAGATTGTTCGAATATTATACTTACAATTTGCGGTGTTTTCACAGTCAATTTACGGTGTTTTCACAGTAAACTCACAGCGCTTTTACGGTGATTTCACGATAAATTTACGGTACTTTCACAGTGAATTTGCGGTGATTTTGCAAACTTGAGTTCACCGTGAATTTACCGTGAAATCACCGTGAATTTATCGCAAAAACAGCGTGAGTTCACCGTTTAATTAACGTCTACAAATCGTCACCTGAGAATTATAGTGTTCTATCTGCATTTTCTTTTTTTTATTCAGGTTAGTCTTGTTTTAAGTATTAAAGATGCATATTGTTCTATCTATATATAATTGGGGTAGAAATTGTACAGTTTAAGCCTTAAACTTTACAATTTCTACCCCAATTATATATAGATAGATCAATATCATCTTTAAGACTTAAAACAAGACTAACCTGAATAAAAAAAAGAAAATGCAGATAGAACACTATAATTCTCAGGTGACGAAATGTCACAAATGGACGGTATATTCACTGCACATAAACGGTGTATTCACGGTGAATTCACGCAAACGGTGAATTCACCGTAAACTCAAGGCCGCAAGGGAAGTATTTCTTGTTAAATTGAAGAACAATGACATTTTTTTTAAATTTGTTATTTTATCGTTGTTCAACAAGAGTGCATGGGTACCTTAACGTACGTATGCGTACGTACGTATACGTATGCGTACTAAATTGCACACAAAAAATCCATCTCGAAACTTTTCGAAAATAATAATAAAAAAACATCTTCAGGGGGCCCTTAGCTACTAGCTCCCTTAGGGGCATTTTTTACTATTTTTGTCGTTAGAAACCCAGTGTAAAGTATTAATACTTTACACTTGCAATTGCACACTGTTTGCCAAATGTTATGAATTACCTTTTTATTAATATTCGGCACCTGTCATTTTGACAGGCATCAGATGTCATTTCGACACCCATAATTTTGAAACCTGCCATTTTGACACTTGTCGTTTTGACACCAGTCACTTTAACAGCTGTCATTTAGGCACCTGCCGTTTTAACAGAAATCATCTCCCTGTCATTTTGACAGTTGCCACTTTGACACCTGTGATTTGGATTGCTGTCATTTTGACAGCTGTCATTTATGCCCTTTTAATGTTGACAGTTGTAATTTTGACCTGAAATTAACAAAATAGAACGTCGATTAAAACCGATTGAAATCCTAGTTCAATAATTTCAAAATTAGGTATTTTTTAATTCAGCCCAAATAAAATTAAGGAATAAAACGCCGATTAAGACCGATTGAAATCATACCTATGATTCAGTATTATAATTATAAAAAATTATTTTTTTTCCAATTGAACCAATTGAAATTAAAAAAACGAACGTCGATTAAAACTGATTGCAATCATTGCATCATTCATGAAATCCTAGTTTAATAGTTTAAAAATTATTTTCCAATTGTAATTACTTAATTGACAAAATTGAACGCCAATTAAAACCAATTCAAATCTCTGTTCAATATTGTCCCATTTAGACCGATAGAAATAAAAAAGTTTAGATTAAAAATATTTGAAATATTATTTTCTAGTTAAATTTCCGATTCAATATAACTGTAAACGTTTCAAACCAATACCAAATAAAAATTAAAAAATTTTCAATATAATTAAAAACGACTTAAATTTTGTATTGGTTTCTATCGGAGATTTTAGGCAGCATATATAATCCTTGATTTACACCGACAAATATTATAATTTAAGTTAGTTAATTATAATTATAACTTAATAATTATTAAATTAAGCAGCTATAGCTAAATTTTTGGTAGTACTTATACTACCAAAAATTTAAAAAGAAATGAAATTAAAAGTGCAAACGGGATCCAGTGGCGGCCCGTGACATTTCATTTTGGTGAGGCAGAGTTTCGCCCTCATTTAAAGGCGAAGAAATTGTTTTAAACCCAACTTAAAAAAACTGACGTCGCAGTTTTCATACCAAGTACCTATTAACAAAAGCACGACAAGGTTTACCAGGATTGATTAATAGATTACTTAAATCTGGACGAGGGACACCAAATTCCTTAACAAACATTTTATCATCGAAAGAAAGACGACTAAATGGAAAGTTCAAAAGAAAGTCAACAATATCGGAACAATTTCTCACCGTAAAATCCATTATAACTAAATTCACATAAATCACCAAGTTAAATGAACTAAACCAACAGAATAAACCACTTACAAAAGAATCATAAAATAGACAAAGTTTGTGACGGCTGGTGGATTTTATGTATACCAATATCTCAGTTATTAGACATGGGACCCACACCAAATTTATAATAGTTTATAATGACATTAAATAAACAAGTTCGGCGCAAACAGAATTTAAATTGAAGTTTGCGAAAAAAAGTTAGTTTTTCCTGTCGCCTCACCCGCCTGCAGGCCCCCCTATTTGAGATTATTTAAACTAAAGTGGTGCAATTTATTATCTACTATAATTTATCGACAAATTTAAAATTTTATTTAAAAAATCCAAATATTACAGGTTTTACCAATTTAAATATTTTTTATTTTAATACTACTACCACTTTAATTTGAATTATCTTAAATAGGGGGGCCTGGAGGCGGGTGAGGCGACAGGAAAAACTAACTTTTTTCGCAAACTTCAATTTAAATTCTGTTTGCGCCGAACTTGTCTATTTAATGTCATTATAAACTATTATAAATTTGGTGTGGGTCCCATGTCTAATAACTGAAATATTGGTATACCCAAAATCCACCAGCCGCCACTGAGACAAACTCATAGAAAAAGAATAAACAAAATATTGCGTAAATAACCACAGATTTGTTCTTTAAACAGTTCAGAATTTTATAACCAAAACAAACCTAAAGAAGGAATCCGTAGTTATTTTATTGGTTACTGTGATTGCTACAAGATGGCGATAGTGTTAAAATATGTTTATTATAATAATATAATAATATTTATTGATCCATAAGAAGCAAATACATTGTATAAGGACAAGTCAAGATAAAATAAATATAAAATACATAACAATAATTGTAAACTTATATACATATTAAAAACAAAGATAAATACATAAACCGATCAAAAAACTTGCAGATAGTCAGACACAGAATAAAAGCAGTTAAATAATAGGTATTTTTTTAGTTCTTTCTTAAAATTCATGTAAACAGTAATTTTTTTTATATTCTCAGGCAATTTATTATATAATACTATGCCTGAATATAAAGGTGATTTTTCGTACAGACTGGTTTTATGTTTTGGATATTCCAGTGTCTGACCATGTCTAGTTGAATAGTTATGCGAACCACCAAGAGACTTTAAAGTACTTAGTTTTCTTTTAATGTACAAAATACATGAAAGTATATACAGGCATGGGAGTGGGAGAATATTATATTTTTTAAAATAGGGTCTACACGATTCCATTTGGCGGACATTAAATAAAAGTCTTATTATCCTTTTTTGTGCTTTAAACACTCTATCACTGCAGACTGAATTACCCCATAAAATAACATTATAATTTAGAATAGAATTTATTAGAGCATAGTAAACATTAATAAGAGTTTTACAATCAAGTGTAGGTTTAAGTTGCATTAGGGCAT